ACTGTTTTGAAGATAAGCTCATTAGACATAACGGACACGGGAATTTATATGCTTAAAGCTAAAAATGCACATACAATTGAAAAGTTAAATTTCACGCTGCATGTCATGGGTATTCGAATCATTCTTTAATATTTAATAAAACTGAAGTAACTGCAGTGTATTGTGTAACTATATTGATTCTAGCTGAACCGTATCCCGCACTGGAACGTACCGCATCTTACTATACACCTAACACTAATGCGGAATTTCATTGCAAAGTGCTATCATTTCCGCCCCCAAATATAACGTGGAGTTTTTGGAAATGTCCTAATTATCCATTATTTGAAAATTCAACAATTGTGCAACTGACAGTAAGTACAATCTTTTGTTGACTTAATTTTTGTTAGGTAAATATTTATATGATACTTTATATAACCAAAAAAATTCTTATATTTAATTATAATTATATCTTATAATTATATTTATAGGAAAAGAAATCTTACCTGTTCCAAAAATCAACGACGAAAGTTTACATCACATTACTACGTGATTCATTACAAACTCAATAAAATTTTTTTATTAATAACTATTATAAAATTCATAAAAATTAATATAAAAATAAATTTTAACATAATAAAAAAATTAATAATAATAACCATTCTAATTAAAATTTTCTTATATTAAAAGAGTAATACAATTCATTACCAGAATACCGAATAACCAAAACTAATAAAGTAATCCCCAAAACTCTCTCACAAACTCTAAATACCAAATAATAAATTAAATAAAATTCAATTTTTAATATTCTAAATACCATAAACATAATTATAGAAATATTAATAAAAGTGATAGCACTTTGCAATGAAATTCCGCATTAGTGTTAGGTGTATAGTAAGATGCGGTACGTTCCAGTGCGGGATACGGTTCAGCTAGAATCAATATAGTTACACAATACACTGCAGTTACTTCAGTTTTATTAAATATTAAAGAATGATTCGAATACCCATGACATGCAGCGTGAAATTTAACTTTTCAATTGTATGTGCATTTTTAGCTTTAAGCATATAAATTCCCGTGTCCGTTATGTCTAATGAGCTTATCTTCAAAACAGTACGAAGAGAAGTTGTATCCACGGAATATTTTGAATCCTTTGTAATTTCCTCGCCTTTCG